CCCCCCACTCTAGCCGCTGATACTTCCTTGTCTATTTTTTCTTGCAAAATATCTTCCTTAGCCTTCTCCCAGACTGTAAATTTGAACACAGACGGTGTTTCCTCTCCCCTGTAAAGGGAATGCGGAAGCCGTACCTAAAACCTTGAACCAGAAAGTCTCTGTCTGTGTAACCTTTCAAGAAAGAGTTCAGCTTATCGACCCGAACTGGGGTGGGAACTACTTTGCTGTGATATCCATTTAGACTTATCGCTTTGTGGCGGTGTTTGTTTTGTGGTGTTTTTGCCGGTGGATTCGGGCCTGGGATTCGTACATTTGGCTCTATCATGGGTCCCCCCACAGTCCTCGCAGATATGGGGGTATGTACACGATTGCCTTCGTTGGCAATTTCCGTTGTTGTTGTTGTAGCTATGACAGCAAATTCGCTTTCGGTTAGGCCGAAAGGGCCATTTCTGGCCTGAGCCAGAGCGAAAAGACTGCCCCTGCTTTGTCTGAAATTTTGAAACAAGGCCCTCAGCGAGGGCTGCATGATATAAGGCAACATTCAACTGGTCCCAGGGGCAGTCCTCGGGCTCAAGCTCACGCCACAAATGAAAGGACTTATCATATGCAATAGCTGCTAAATCACCTGATTCCTCAGCTATGGCCTGTATACGCCGAGCAAACTGGAACAACTGGTGTCCCCGTTCTGGGTGTCTCTTGCTATATATTGCTCCAAACACATGGAAACAATTTAACCACTGGCCTATTGTGTCAATCTTTTTTGTTGAAGGCACTTTAACCAGTGCAAGTGACCCATCTGTTTTTTCTGTGGTAAACCTCTCTCTGCTGTCTTTCCCTGGGTTCATTAAGACACCGAGGTCAACAAATTCATCAGATACAATTCTGTTTCTGACTTTAGGGTCTAGCCCAAGGTCAATTGGTTTGGTGAGGTTTCTTTTTGTACCAGTACAGTCCTGGGTATGCTCACTGGTGCTGGAGCTCGAGGTCGAGGCTGTTAACTGGGACAGACAGGCATCTGCCCCTGGTGTAGCTGGTCCTGTTGGAGGAGTCTGAAGTGGGGGTCTGGGGTCCACAGTTTGAGGGCCTGAATCCTCAGAGGTACCAGCTGGTCCCTGATCATGATGAGTAGCGGTGCCTCCTTGCCCTTCACTGCTACTCAGCGTCTCCAGCACTGTTTTTGTTATTGTTGGGATGGCCGCTGTGATACATGACTGCATAATGGCAATCAAATCAGTTGTGGGTGGTACCGGTGGCACCAATGGTGGAGTCTGACTGGTGGTGGCCCCTGTGGTTGTTGGCTCTGTATTGGCATGTACCTGTACACGCCGCCGTTTGCTTGGTGGCCTGGATGCCATTTCAGCTTAGAGCTGATACACCGGTGTAGAGGAACATATTGTTCCTGTACTGGAAAATAACTACAACTATAACTATAACTATATGGGGTTTCATTTCTGAGTGTTTTCCCCCTGGGATGGAAACCGGTTCTCAAGAGCTCTGAAACTCTTGCTATGTCTCCTTCATCCGTTTGTTCTTTCTGCCAGTCAATTGCACATAGTGTAGCGGATAACAATGCACGCTCGCTGGCCACACGAGGCACAGAATCACCAACAATACAATCAATGACGGGGGCTACAGTGACAGCAGACTGGCATATAGCCTTAATAACATTCCGACCTAATTGAGACATGCACGAGAGACCGTCCGCATCAGCGTTGTTTTTCCCAGCTCGGTAATGTAAGGTAAAATTGTAGCAGGCCAACGCAGCTACCCAACGATGACTGGTCCCATCTAGCTTGGCCTTACCCAGTACAGAAGTCAGAGGATTATTGTCAGTGACAACAACTTGGAACGAATTAACATAGACGTAATCGTGAAATTTGTCGGTGACAGCCCATTTAAGAGCTAAAAACTCTAACTTATGAGCAGGATAGTTCTGCTCATTGGGTCTTAAGCCGTGGCTTGCATATGGGATTACCCTCTCTTCACCATCATGCTTCTGATACAGCACAGCACCTAATCCTAGGACACTGGCATCAGTATGAACAATGAATGGTTTAGAGAAATCAGCATAAACCAGAACAGGAGGATTTACCATTAACTCTTTCACAGTATCGAAAGCGGTCTGCTGTGCATCTTCCCACAGCCACTCAGCTTTCTTTCTTGGTTTTGACTTGGATATAACCTTAGCTTTAGGTTTAGATTTCCTTGTCAAATCATGACCCTGCAAGAGATTGTTTAGGGGTTGTACAACTTTAGAAAAGTCTTTGATAATAGCCACTAAACCCCAAAAACTGGCGCAATTCCTTCACATTCTTATGTGTCACAGATGTCTTAAAAAACTCACACTTGGAAGGTTTTAGTTTGAGGCCGTGTTTCACTAGTCGGGCAAAAACCAATTCTAACCTGTTTAAGTGCTCGTCGAATGTCCGGGAAAAGATCAGAATGTCATCTAAGAAGATTAAACAATCTAAGAGATGCATATCACCCATGCATTTTTCCAGTCGCTGAAAACATGCGGGAGCACAAATCAAACCAAAGCCCATTCGGTTGGTTTCCCAGAAGCTAAAGATTTAACAACACGAATTACGTTGGTACCCAGCAATGCGCGGCATTGTCTGTTGAAATCTGTGTCTGGCACGACAACTAACAAAACATCAAAACTATCATTAGACAAAAATGGTAAAGACACGCTACATTCTATATATCCTAAATAATTCAAAAGTGAACCATTAGATACCTTGACCTCCAATCCCAAAGACTGAAGTTATCTTAGTGGTGGTTTGTCTGATAAGCCATTATATGTGGAAACCATCACATTATCGTGAATTATGTGATTCATTATCTAATATAGAGTAACATCATCTATTGATAAATTAATGACCATACCTCAGCATTGCGGTCAACTGTGTAGATATCATGGAACAACAGGATCCTGAAAACTGCATGTCCAAGCTCTGTAATCTTTGACACCCGAAGAGTTGTCTCCTCCTCTTCCTGACACACAGTCAGTCCATCGGAGGTCAAGTAGGTCAGCTTGTCCCCCTCCTTCAATATAAAGCTACCGGGGTCTATAGTGAGCTCCACCTACTGCTGTATACCACACACTATCTTATCTATAAAAACAAATGGCAGGAATTTATGGCAGGAACAAAGATTATCTGATATCATGTGTTCTCTAGCTAGCAGTGTGAGAATCACAGCAATATTTTCTACTTACTGCAGAATCATTTATTTTCGTGGGGTTAACATTTTTTGGTTTTCATATACTTTCCTGTTTCAAGGATATTATTTTTCGCTGATTTCAGATTTCTCCCTATCTATATCATACCAAATTGATGTTTTCACAGGGATTTAATTTTGTGGATTTTTGTTATCCACGAAATAAAACGAAATTTAATGTCCCACGAAAATTTATGATTTTACAGTAATATATACAGATATACCAGTGCCTTAATAAAGCTTTAATTTTTGGCCTATGCCCATTCTGGCTGTCACACTTTCGTACACAACTTTTGATATGAACCACATTTGTTATCACATAGTGTACAGCTTGTTAATTTATGATATTTCTTGTATGCTCTTTTGGAATATGAAAAAAATCTTTGTGACATTGTATTGCCTAGACAATTCAAGTATGAACAAACAGAATAATAAACAAGAGGCCTATAGGGCCTGTATCGCTCACCTGGATATCTAAGCAATCATGGCAGAATATTCTCCAAATGAGATCCAAGGGAATATGCCAGACCCCAAGGCCAATCCTTGTAGCATATATTTCTGTATTAGATTTTTCATGCCCAGCAATTTTATGTATGGTTATGGGGTGGGGATCTCAACTGTTTCCAAGCTTTGACTCAGAAACTAGGTCCCTAGGGTTGTGGCCAGACCTCAGAATCAATTCTAATATCATGACTGCATTTCTCTCTTTTTTGCCCAGCATTTGTATATATAGTTTTGGGGTGGGGATTTCAACCGTTTCAAAGTTATGACCCAGGGGTTAAGTCTGCAAGGGTGGGGCAAACCCTAGGGTCTATTCTAATATTGTGACGGCATTTGTCTCTTTATGCCCAACAATTGTATATATAGTTTTGGGGTGGGGATCTTAACCATTTCAAAGTTATGACCCAGGGGTTAAGTCTCCAAGGGTGGGGCAGTCCCCAAGGCCATCCTGGAAGCA